AATGTTATGATTAGTACTTGATTAGATTAGATATCAGTGGAAAAGCCGAAAATTGATTAATCATTATGCAAATTAGGTAATTAATATAAACAGATTTTTACCCAAAACTAATGAAATCTGCGCATTAGATCAGAGCATCCATGTGCCAAGTTTCATCAAAATCCAATGAGTGGTTCTTCAAATATCAGTGGAACAGTCATGGAACAGCTTAAAATCAGTTAATTATCATGCAAATTAGGTATTTAATAATCATAGAATTTTACCAAAAACAAATCAAATCTGCGCATTAGTTCAGAGCATCCATGTGCAAAGTTTCATCAAAATCCAATGAGTGGTTCTTCATATATCAGTGGAACAGTCATGGAACAGCTAAAAATCAGCTAATTATCATGCAAATTAGGTAATTAATATTCATAGATTTTTACCAAAACCTAATCAACTCTGCGCATTATCCCAGAGCATCTATGTACCAAGTTTCACCAAAATCTGATTAGTGGTTCTTGAGATAACGGTGGAACAAAAAAAGTGACATACATACATACATACATACATACATACATACATACATACATACATACATACATACATACATACATACAGACATACAGACAGGGTAACTGCAAAGACTCCCTTTTGTGCTTCGCACACGGGAGTCAAAAATACCAGAAGGTGACTTTGATGTTACCTATAGAAAGTCAAATGACATTGAGCCTCAAGGGATTGTGATTGAGCAGTGTATTTAATTTCACATATTAATGAATTAAACTTACAGGTATGATGTGTCTGTTGACAGTCAAGCCATGTTGCCGCAGTGTTGCTATCGCTTCATCTCGATCCTGGCTCAAAACTCGGATCAAGTCTTCTCTTTGCTGAAGTTCTCTTTCACGTTCTTTCACCAGTGCTATTGCCTTTCATCAAAAGGGAGAGCAAATAGTTACAAACTCATGTAGCATGCTACGTCTTTACAGTTTATAAGTTAATTATAGGATTAAATGGCCACAGTTGTCATAGTGATAACACCTACGCTACCTCATCTCTGGCTGTTGTTATTTTAGATATTAATTCCTCAGATTTCTGATACTGTATACGTTCACGATCTTCACATCGTCTTTGCCAATCCAGCTCCACCTGTGTTTTGCTTCTTTCCAAGGACGCTTCCCGTTCCATGGCCTGAGACAATTCTTTTTTATATCTAGTACGGTGTTCAAAAGGAAAACAAAAGTATATCAATTGATATGAAATTACTAAAGTATCATCCTCTCACAACTTCAATCAAAAGTAACTGGTTTTTTCACACAAATCACAAAATACAAGTATGTCTGAGGCAACTGGTATTCCACCCAAATTCACTATATTATAAAAAGTATTTAATTAATTGTTACAGTATTGAATTATTTTCACCAATCATTGAACACAAATACTGAAATGCAAATCTTTTGTTTATTTTTACATGTGTGACATTACATGTCATAAGGATAAAGAAAACAACAAGTCATGAATGACACTGCCTTCGCTAGTTGTCATTCTAAAGTTGCATGGACATAAATTGGCAAACGTGATTTCTATGGCATTTTCAAGTTTATAGCACTCTCCATCCAGGTCAGCATTATTCTCAGCAAGGAAACCAGATAGCACCAAACCAGTACAACAGGTAAAATGACAAGGAAGTATACAAATCAGATCTGCAAATATGTAGAGTCAGTGTTGTGTCTGTTTGGATAAACTAGTTTGTGGCCCTGGATTAGTTTCAATATCTCTAATAAGGACAAGATTACTTCTCATACGACAATGATACAAATAAAGTGCAAAAATCCAGAAAAATATTATCAAGTTTTTATTACCATACATTAATATTAACAAATCATGTGAAA